GCAGTCTCAGAACCATACTTTACTTTAATGATGAGCTATTCAATCTTCTGAATCAATTAACTAAATTAAACCCTAATAAATCTGATGACTGATTTGATACATTTATTATTTAATCAAGATGTATTCCATGGGCCTCAGTGTTTATATATCAGTGACTAGTTACCTGAACAAACTTCAAGTTATATCTAATGTCACTGATCTCACTGCAGTCCCTGAATCATACTTGACTGTAGTACTTGATCACATTCAGTCTTCTGGGTTAAATAATATGTAATAAGGCTTGAATATTAGCCTTTCAAGAGTTAACAGGGAAATGAGATCGCATTAGACTTCTAACCCCTACAACTCTAGTACGGGACATCCGTCCTGTACGAACAGACACACAAATGTGTGATTACTAACTACTAACATCAAATTAATCTAATAATTCGAAGGAGGAGTATCGGTGTTCGTCTGTTCTAAATAGGACTTCGACCCGTGAGCAGCCCCCTGGGGAATTATGTCGGAAAATCCGACACCATTTAATAATCATACAGATAATAGCTGTATTACCAACAAGTTACCCATAGAAAACGTAACTTGTAGTGGAATTACCGTCTATAGAAAACGGGATATCATCACCACATACTATTATAATTCACCAGCTATTCTGCTGGGAATTATTCTTAAATACATTAGTCTTTGGACTTTACCATCATAAAAACATCTTATATAAATTAACTTAATTATCAATATTAAAGTAGAGTAAATGTGACCCTTCTATCACTTTCTGAAATCTGGACAAAGTAGGCCAGGCGTCAGGGAGGAAGGAGGGAGCCATTGTTGTGTCACCTCCGAGACGTGTGGAGCAAATTTGGCTCCTATCATTCTGGACAATGTCGGCCAGTAACGTCAATAGTATGGAGTGTTAAACAGTCATTGTTTTATACTAGACCAGAGGCTCACACGGGAGCAAATTCGGCTCCTGTTAATTTACTTGGACGTAGTGTTATGGAAACCAAAGGTACCATCTCCAACACGATGTCTACAATTCAAGTTAAGTCTATCCGAAACCCGTTTATCATTCATTTATGGCCATTAATGTCAGGATATAGGGTGACCCGGTTAGATCACGTGGAAGCCTCAAACTAAAGGTCAAGACGAGGAAGAGTTTGTGCACCAGTTACCTGGGTGATATGGAAGCTACCTCAAAGAGGATAATTTGGTGTCTACACCCTAGTTATACCTGGTGGACTAGCCTGCTGTACTATAAGATAAGGAACCTCATCAATGTATGTAGCTATTACTGTAGTTTGATTGGCTGCATATATATTAATTTAATAAACCCCCCTAATGTGTAGAGGATCGATTTGTGAGATTAAGAGATTATTGCAGAAATACAGTCCACTTATCATTATACAAATTGCTATCGAAGTATATAAATTAACGTAAATATAGATTCATATAAATTAAATAAATATAAATCTCACAGGTCAGTTCCCACAGTGTGAGAGCCTCGGTACTGAGTGAGCAACCAAGGATGGCGCTCACAGCACTGCTGTTTAGCTTGTGACCACAGCATCACCTAATAATGTCAAAATATATATATAACTTGTATTATTTAGCCATGATAGTATTACAGAAGAGCCTGAGTGTAATTGTTACGGACCCGAGTCCAGCATCGGAGCACGGAGCAGTGATGACAACGCCATCTGTGAGTCCGCTCTCGAAACCCACTCCAAATGGACGACGCCATCTAGTGGTGACAGGATAGGCCAGCAATAAGTGTTGGATTCCTGTCCTAGTCAGCTCGTGACGTAGCTGCTGCTGACCTCTGGTGAGGTGGCGCCTAGACAGCAACGCCATCTATGGAGTGAAGAGGTGGACGTTTCTGTCTAAGCTAGTGATGTTTCCTTGTGGTCTCGGGTAGTATCCCCAGTACTGATGACGTGTCTGCTTGCAGAGTCGACCTGGGACTGCTGTGTTGGTCGATGGATCAGTCTACCCAAGGCAGCCAAGGTCTCTTCACTAGTCTGCTTTGAAGAAGCTGTGAGCCACCCCTGGACGAACTCTGTTGAGAGTAATAGCCTGCCTGAGGAGTGGCAGTGTTGGGAATCGCCTTATCCGGGGTTGGCTAGTAGAAGAGACCATCCACTGAGGTGCTGTATGAGGAGAGTGACCAGTGAGTCCCACGAGGTTCCTGGCTAGGGCTCGCAACCCTAAGTATCGGTCGTGGAGTGGCCTATACAGCGGAGCTGATCGGTACCTGCCAGCTACAGGCTGGATTGTGGTTGAAGGCCTCCACGACGAAGCACCCAGTGGGACTGTGATTTGGCTGGCCTGTGGCCAGGGTAGATTCGGGGTAGTCAGCGTGGATTCATCGTGGGCCATGGAAGAAGGAACCAGGGCTACCCAGAGTGAGCACCGTTGAGCATCCAGTGTCTTCGGAGGAAGACGCAACTGTATATATTTTTGCGTAGTAATAATCACCGTGTGTGACTGTTATTTATTTATATATGGTGGTGGAAATATATATCAGAAAATTTTAATATTTGTATCCCCCCCCCCTTTAATTTAACTTGCGTTACGGAACACACCCCTTGAAAGCCTCTACTAACTTGGGGCCGGATTCCCAAACTCTACTACCATCAGAGAAGAACCCGGTTGCGTCCCAGTAGGGCCGTAACAGTAATAATGACTGTATACAATGTTCAAATGTCAGTGATTCAATGCTGTTTACGATGTTCACATCACTAGCCACAGCACCACAGCATTACTGTAGACACACTATTATCCGGGATTTGAACATCCTGAAAACACCCTTATACGGCCAAAATCGTGACCGTATAAAGTTCTCAATATTTGGCCAAACTGGCCATTGGAGCCGGATAAAAGCTAGTTTAGCTGGCTAAAAAATTGGAGCCGGTTAACTTTCTGCCGATGTTACACTATCTGGACAGTCAGCCGGATAATTATTGAATTGTCCGGATATGAAAGCCATGGGGCAGGCCGTACCATATTAATCCAGTCTGCCTGTGGCTTGAGATGCATAGTGGAGGAGGGGGGGTGGGTGGTGTCGGGAGAGAGGGGAGCGGCCTATACACTACAGTACAGGAATTACCATAAATTTTAGAACAATTCATCATAGCCAAAATCAAAAGAAATACTAGTAATTATGTAATAAAAAATACCATACAAGTTTCCTAAAAACATTTTGCACAGGCTGAAGTTTCCTTAAAAAATATTGTTATTTTTTTCCTGTTGGTGGCCTATGTAACGTGCCTCCTTGTCCTGACTGGACCAGTCCATACCTGGTCAAGCCATGTGCTCTCAGCCCTCGTGTTACACCACAGTGCCCCGCCATTAGTGAAATATTTTTTTTAAATAACTTTTATTTTCATAGTAACTTTGGACATTTTTGGCCAAGACTATGTCTGGTAGCAGCATAAATCGTTCTGGAGGTGTTAAGAGCAGGAAGATTGTCCTAACAATTAAGGACAAGTTACGTGTTATACAACTTTGTGAAAATGGCCGGTCGACTTCAAGTGTTGCCAAGGAATTTAATATAGGCACTAGTACTGTTTCTGATATAAGGAAACAAAAAGAGAAAATTCTGAAATACATTTCAACCTCTGAAAGTGAAGGTGCAAACACTAGCAGAGGGTGTGAACAGGCCCCTTCAACTAGTGAGGCGTCACAGGCAAGCCCAGCGCCTTCAACAAGTGAGGCGTCACAGGCAAGCCAAATGCCTTCAACTAGTGAGGCTTCCGCAGCTGGCAGTAAAAACTAACTTTGCTTATTGGACTGTACAGTAATTTTAAGTGTTAATTTTAGTGTTGTGTTAGTATAGGTTACGTAAATTGTCAAGAATTTTTAACTTCAAGATGTGTGGCATCAATCAAGAAGACGAACAACAACAAGGTAAGTTGAGGTTTCTAGTTGAATATTTAATAATTATATGTGGCAAGGCAATTCAAATTATGTTCTTTGTAGTATAAAAATAGTTGGAAATGGTTAGTTTTGGACACGTAGGTGAAAAAGTACCATTATTCGGAACACGTGATTATCCGGCTGGGGGTCCTTCCCATATAGTCCGAATAATCGAGTGGAGACAGTACATGTTCAGGGAAGGAAATTTATCGTTTTATAAAGGCCAAATTTTTTTTTTGCAAACACTTGATTTTTAGCACACAGGGGGAATGTCCCAATAAACTTAGTGCATCACAGTGGTTAAGGCCCAAAACCTGACGTATTAAAAATCCCAGTAGCTCTTAAAATGTACGTGATGTCCAATTTTCTATTCGTGGCTCCTCGGTTAGGTTAGGTTTAGGCAGTTTAGTCCATCAGTTTAGTGACGTGAATGCTCGAGAAGATGGGCTGCACATTGAGCCTTGGCATGAACTCCAACAGATGTTACACACACACACACACGGTATTGTACCTGAACGGAATTTTGTAGAGCAAGAAGCTAACGAAGCAAGGTGCTGCCCTTACCACTGACTTCTGAGACAAGTCCATGATCTTTATTACTCTCAGAATCATCTAATGTTGCAAGCTTATATTTTTATTAATTTCCTCATTTGTAAGTTAAAATTTCAACAGAGCTGCATGGCTGGGCTGGGAGCCTGAGCTGCATATGCCACCAATGGTTGCTCTCTTGATACTACTGGCCAGTAGTGAAGACAATGTACTCACAATTTTTCCAAGAGGGTGTTTGTTTAATGGATGCCTGCAGAAGCAGATGAGAGCTCTATGTACCCATGGGAGTTTCACATGTTGCACAATGCTAAAAACATCTCAGGAATTTGCACCAGCAGTCGAACATCTGAGGATGTGATGCGCAGTGCAAGGGTTAATAACCTGCAGGGGCTGATGATGTAACTTATAATGTGGAGCTATCTCAGTGCAGCTAGTAACAGGGAGCCACCATTTGGCTCCTCCAGAAAAATCACTACCAACCTTTTTTTTAGCAATCTAATTTGCCTATACTTGAACAAATTTAACTTTGATAATGAACTCACCATATTGTGCGGCCATCGGCATGAAGGAGTGTTTTGCCCTTGTCAGAAATATCCATTGGACATTTGTCTAACATAATAACCTGCAAAACACAAAAATACCTTTACTTTAAGAGGCTTGTATAAGAACAGATTTTATCATTTCTATACTACAAATGACAAAAAAAAAAAAAAACAGCGTTGAATGTAGTGAAATGCCTTTATTGGTGGGATTCAGTAGCTTTCCAAGCTTAACTACTGGTAACATCAAGCCTTGGGAAACCACACACAACCACCCAAACTCACTCTCACCTGCCAAGACCAGAATCTGGCTCTCTATACGAGGCAAAGGGATGCTGGGAACGAGAGAATACCCAAAACCATCAAAAAAGGACAGGATACTGTTGCCACAGTCTACCTATCTTAACCACTTTCCATCCAATGCCACCACATGCCAGTCTTGGTAACCTGGGATCCCTGCCAGCAGCTCAACTCATTCACAAAGGCACAACATCCAGGGATGGCCCAGGCCCCTGGGAGAAGACCAGAAATGAGGAGGGAGTGAAAACAATGAACACACCTAAAACACCCAGCACCCCCACCATGTTGAAAACGGCAGGAGAAACTTTCTTAAAGCAGTCGATGATGATGTGAAAACAACATTTCAGAAATAGAGGTTACCCGGAGAATATACTACAAGATGCCAAAATAAAAATGAATGGCAAAAACAGACAAGAATTATTACATACAGCAAGATCCCGAGATGCTTAATCTTCCATTCCTATTTTCCAGGAATAGCAGGATCTTTACACCAACAACTGACCAACTTAGAAGATTGGCTTAAGGCCACTTGGAGAGAACATCCAGCATGGCAAAACTTTCCACCCTTACCTCCTATGCTGGCCTTGGTCTAAGGGAAATCTCTACAGAATATAATGGTTAAAGCTAGTTTTCCATAACATTAGGCTCCTTCCATTGACACTCCGACTTGTTGAGGGTTGTTTTTTGATACGATAAAATGATCTGAAAACCTAGGTACCTGTGTCAGGTTGAAATGTATCCAAGTCTATGTACAAGTTTAGAGAAAATGTATTGGGACCTTTATTAGGTAACCTTTATACTTGGATCATTAGGTATGTAAAATATCAAGGTTGATGCATTTAATACCCACTCATATGACCCTGTGCATGACTTTTTTTTTGTTTACGTATTTTATTAATATCTTTGAAAAATGTATCCATGTCTATGTATGTACATTATAACTTTATTAATTTTGGATCTTCCTGAACTGCCAGAAAACTTTTGATAGCTCATCACAAAAGACTAATACACGAGATAAAGAGACAAGCGGGGATAACAGGAAAAACACTGGACTGTGTATGGGAGTACCTGATGACAAAATACAAAGGGTCATAGTCAGAGAGGATATGTCAGGCTGGAGAGATGTGGAAAATAATGTTCAACAGGGCTCTGTCCTAGGAACACTTCTAATTCCTGTAAATGACCTCGTAGTGGGAATGAGCTCATACATGTCTATGTTTGCAGATGATGCAAGATGACCTTGACAACCATCATGACTGGGTGATAAATGGCTGCCAGAATTCAATCTAAATAAGTATAAAGTAATGAAAATGGTTAAGATCTATATTTAACTACATCATACAGGGAAACTATTTCAAAGAAACAATAAGAAAAGAGACCTGTGAGTGGACATAATCCCAACACTAACACCAAAGGCTCATGTAAGTAGGATAACATAAGAAATATGGGAAGTTAGTAAACAACATAAGAACATTATTTAAGAAGTTAAACAAGGAGGCTGTCAAATGCATACACACTGCCTATGTGCAACCTGCCATCAGGCCAGGCTCATTAAAGCTGTGGCCATCCTCTAAGACAAATTGATCAGTTCTAATGTATTGTCTTAAAAATAGGTTTGTTCTCATCTATATACTGTACTGTATTAATATTATTATATAATAATGTTTTATGTATAGTTAGGAATAGGTAAGGTTAGGTGATTAGGTTCTGTTAGAAATTACTGTATTTGAAGTACATGGGCGAGGCATTTACAGCATTGCAATTCCACCAGAGGTCGATATGCACTGTTCGAGAAATATTGAGGTGTGTAAACCATTTTTTATTCATAAATAGGGGGTTTGGCGGCTGGATTAACAAGCTTTTGACAAGAGTTGATGAGGACATACTGCTCATCAACTATGCGAAACCATTACTTGAGTATGAAGCACCAGCATAGAACCCACAACAAGTGAAGCACAAAAAGAAACTTGAGAAAGATCAGAAGTATGCAACTGGTTAGTACCAGAATTGAGAGGCCTTAACTATGAGGACAGACTAAGGGAACTCACCCTCATAACCTCAGAGGAAAAAAGAAACAAGAGGGGATATAATCACCACATACAAAATCTTGAAGCAAAGAGAGAAAGTGTACAAAGAAAGCCCATTTAACACTATCACACTCTTCGAACGACCTTGGCATCTGATTTTTTCTCTCTTGAGTCCGAGCGTCGGACTGTGCTGGCGTCCGATAAAAAAATATTTGTATAAAATTAATTTATTATCCGATCGACTTCGGGATAGTTTCAAAATGAGCGCCTTTAGAGTGCGCACAATTTGATACCAAAATGAAAGATGTAACAAAAAACTGTACGTCAGAACACTTTAAAGATTATAAATATGTTTTTGGTCAAAATTTTAAAATATTTGTTAAAATTCTATTTATTGTGCTATTATTATTATGGGGCTAGTTTTAAAATGCGAGCCTTTAGATTGCAAACAATTTGATACCAAAATGAAAGATGTAACACAAAAATTTATGTCAGAACACTGGAAAGGTATAAATAATTTTGTTATGATGAGCATCCAAAATTAAAATATGTTAAAATTCCAGTTATTGCTCTATTATTGTGGGAATAGTTTTAAAATACACGCTTTTATATCGCGAACAATTTGATACCAAAATGAAAGATGTAACATGAAAATTGATGTTATCAAACTGAACGAGTACACACATTAAGCTGCGGTGTGCAAATTGATGCCCGTTCACAGGTAACTGTAGGCTTTGCTGTGGAGAGTCACTCAGGGCTTTTGAACATTATATGCATATAAACCTGCAGGGAATTTAATTGCAAACACAACGATACTAAAACGAATGACGTAGCACGAGAATTAAGGTGAGAAAACTGAAACAAGTTTACACATTTTACTGATTTCGGGCACTCACGGGTAACTTTTGCTTTAGGCTTTGCTGCAGGGAGTCACGCCGGGCTTTTGAACATTATTTGCATATACACCTGTAGGGAATTCTATTGCAAACACACTGACACCAAAACAAATGACATAGCACGAGAATTAAGGTGAGGAAACTGAAATGAGTATACACATTTCAGTGTCGCCACGCGCTTGCCCGCACGCCAGTGTCATGACCTCTAAGTTTGCGGCGCACATGCCGCAAACATGCTTTTGCGGTGCGAAAGTGTTAAATTAAAAATGAAGTGGAATGCATTGAAGGAAGTGGTTGCTGAAGCCTATTTCATTCACAATTTAAACAAATAAATAAAATAAAATAAAATAAAATGAAAAGTCAATCTTGAGGACAATTAGCACATAAGGTATAAACAGCTAGGAGGTGGGACAAAGAGCTACATCTAACTTCCCCTTGGTCACCGATAGGTAAGCATTGATTGGTAACCAATGAATAGAACAAAAACAAAGCAATGGCCCCCCTCAAGAGAACAATGATCTAGGTATATCCAACACTACTTAGCTGAAAATGGAGCAGCTCAAGGGTTCCTGCAGAGTAGTGGAGCTCTGATAACACAAGACTGTTGAAATGGGTGACCTGGGCCACCATTGGGTGGTGGTCAGGTGCATTAAGTTTATGGTTGATCACCTCTGGCAACAATTATTTGCATCAAGGCATGTTTATCTCTTTCAAGCAATCGTTTTATTTTTTCACCTAACCTTTCCGGCGATTTTTTTTGGTTTTGGGTAAATTTTGTATCACCAAGCTCTCTTTGCCTCAGAACCAGACTTTGACCCGGCTACCAATAGGGCAGTGTAGGTCTTTGAGGTCACTTGCAATCCTATGAGATACTGGAGGATGGGAGGCTCCTCCCCCCACAAAAAAAATAATCACAACTCTTATCACTATTTTCAACAAAATTATTCCTGCTAACCATGAACATTGCCCTGTTTATGAGATCCATGTTGTCTTTGTTGATCCCAGATGTAAAGAATTCCTTTTGTATTCGTGCCCATTTTGTCCTCGGAAGACCTGTCAGAGCTGCAACACTACGTTCACTTTCAGTCACACTCTCTGTTGAAAATAGAAGACTGCAAATTCACATTAATTTTTTTTTTTTTTTTTTACATAATAAAGGGTACAAAGACAGAAGTTGTAATGTACAGTATCTTGTTTACAGGGTAATCACTCTTCCTACCCTAGCTCATTTTTACTGTTACCCTATTTGTTCTTCCCCAGAACACAATATGTCAATCATTTTACAACCAGATCCACAATTACTGCTCGGTGAACAAGGCCATGTACCCAGCAGTAGTTAGGGACATGCTAGAATTATGTAAAACCAAGCAACAGAAAGTGAGAAAATGTGGAGTAGGGGTATGATTATAGAAGCCCAAGTGAAAGGTTGAGATAAGGGAAGAGTGGCTTTCTAATGAATGGAGACTGGTACAAGGCAATGAATAACTGATTGCAGCATAGTTAAGATAGTACTGTTTGAAATTCAAATGAAAATACCTATGGTAGTTGAATCTGCTACATGTAAAATGTGTGAATGAAAGAAAAACTTTGGTAATTATTTAGAAAACTAAATTAATATGATGCTATTAACCACTGGACTGCGCTGGCTGAGAAAACATGTTCACCCAAAACTGTGCAGGACAAGAAAACACTAATTTAAGATTTCAAATACATTCAAAATGCGAGCGCAGTTGGTTGGGTACAAAATGTACTCCTGGGACCTCCACTGAGAGGCAGCCATCTTCGAAAAAAATTCCCAGAATGCGCTAGGGCTCCTGGCTGGATCAGTTCAGAATGAGCAACCATGGGTGGCGCACGTGCTTCTGGCTCCCAACCACTGTCCGACGTGGTGTTGAAAAATCGCTGTCGGTGAAATTCAAACCTCATTGTTTGAAGGACACAAAGGTCATGATATTGAAGTTAGGCACAATAAGGACCTAACACAAGGGTCGATATAAGTGATACACCACTGACGAGAACAATGCATGGAGCATATCCAGTAGTAGCCGAGTGCCACCCATGCCCACCTTTGTCATCTTTGTATCATATGAGCGATACCAGGACAGAATTTTTGTCATTGAGCTTTTCCTAGATCTTTCTAAGACTACCTGGATTTTTTCAATCCTACCTCACAAAGTGATCTTCTCAAGAATAGCTGAATCTTTTCTAGAATAGCTGAATCTCCAGAATACCTTACAAGTTGATCTTTTCGAGACTACCTTACAAATTTATCTTTTCCTATAATCTTTTCAAGACTAACTTACACTTTACAAGCATGGATACAAACCCCCTACAGGAACTAAAGCCAAGGATGTATGCGAGTGTGTTATTTGCAAGCACACAGAACGAAGAAACAGGAAGCGAAAATCTGTTTGTACCTGGTGCATTGAGTGAGAATTCGTGCTGTGTACCATGGACTGCTGCTTTGATTATCACTCGCTTCTGAAGTACTGAGTGTGTAGTACTGAGTATGTAATATGTGACTGCATAAATAGTGTGTGAAAATGTACATATTGTAAATATTGAACAGGTAATATTGTGCCAATGAACATTTGTTGTGGACACATTACTGACCCATGTATCACAGTTCCATGGAACATTATGAATGTTCTACTGTATACATATTGTAAAGGACACAAATGTCCATCACATATGATAAAAAGGAAACTAATTATAAAGGATTGAAGATACAGTGGAACCTCTATTAACGAGTTTAATCCGTTCTGGCACAGAGCTCGTTGCCTGGAAAACTCGTCTTAAGAAACAAATTTCCCCATTTAAAATAAAGGAAATAAATTTAATCTGTTCCACTCCCAAAAACATCCATACTTGTATGACTTTTTTTATGTAAATATAATACTGCACATGTAAATATAAATGTTTTGTTGTAGTGTTTTAATATTTACTTTACCTTATGAAGAGTAGTTGCTGGCTGGAGGGAGACGATGAGGAGGTGGGAAGGAGAGGGGTTATGGTGTGGAAGGAGAATCCACCTCTGAGTCAGGCGGACTCTCTCTTCTTGGGAATTTCACCCAAATTTCATTTCAAATGTCACACAAGGATGCGTTAGACCAGCACCAAATAAAAAACTACGTCGATTACACTCGTTGTGTCAACATTATAATAGTCTTACCACGAAGATACAATACAATGCCGTTTTCTCAAATAGGCAATGTGGTTTTTAAAGAAAACGGAAATTTCATGGCAAACATGTATACAATCTCCAAGACGATCAGATAAGAATTGGATTTTATAGAAATATTTGCTCAAATGACTCTTGAGCGCGGTGTTTGGGTGCATTCAAGAGAAAAAAGTGTGTCACGTTCAAGCGACATATACCTGCGAAAGTGTTAATGTGTTAAAAAGTGTTAAAATTTAATATTATTCTTAGCATATTCTGTTCATATTCCATGGAATATAAATAGGGAATTCATAACGTTTCGAGGACACCCAGTCAGCAGTGTTACTAATCCATTTATTTATCCAAAACAAAATGGGACTTATGGTCAAGACTGTACAAGCACTTCAACTTTTATGGGAATCTCATCCCCATCAATCTTCACTTCAGTCAATGCAACACCATTAACATCTACCACCTCTACCATCTAAATAACTATGTACCATTAACAAAAATCATCAGCTTCATAAGCTTATCTGAACTTCTCATATTAGTTATCTTGAGGTTATCTCGAAAAGATTTCGGGGCTTTAGTGTCCCCGCGCTTCCACGCCCAGGAGGCAGCCCGTGACAGCTGACTAACTCCCAGGTACCTATTTACTGCTAGATAATAGGGACATCAGGGTGAAAGAAACTCTGCCCATTGTTTTTCTCGCCGGCGCCCGGGATTGAACCTAGGACCACAGGATCACACGCCCAGTGTTCTGTCTGCTCAGCCGCCGGCTCTAGTAAATACAATGTACTGCCAAATTTTCCCAATAAATTTTTAGGATGCTGAACTTTTATGAACTTTTACGGATGCTTTTAGGCTCCACACACAACAGGTTATTCATTCAGTCTCAGTCCTGAGGCATCCGGAAAACATGTGGTCATCTGTACCCGAATTAACAAAATTAGCACAGAATTTGCACCATTCCTAAAATTTGCACCATCACCTACACTAAGAAAAGATTGGTCTAAATATGACAATATTATTGATGATACAGCACAAAATTAAGAGTCCTTGTAAAGTCCTTGCATATGAAGAGTAAATATTAAAAGTTGGGTTCGTTCTCAACTCACAATCGAGAATTCTAGGTTCGAATCCCAGGTGGGACAGAAATGGTTGGGCGCGTTTTCTATCACCTAATGCCCATGTCCACCTAGCAGTAGATAGGTACCCAGGAATTAGTCAGTTTGTTGTAGGGTTACAACCTGGGGAAGGGTCAGTAATTTGATCCTGGGGAAGGGTCAGTAATTCAACCCGGAGAAGACAGGAGGGGGATCAATATAAGCCTAACATGTACTGCACGTATGTATATTCTGGCTGCTTGTCCCCCCGACACAACAAATTATTATATAACTAAGTGTGAAAACTCAATATTTTAAAAAGAACAACACTCTTTTAAGTTGAGAAATCACACGAGAACAAGCTGTAAACAAGGAATACAGCACACATTCTTGCCTGATGGCATCCACCAGGATTTTATTACAGGGATTGTTTAAGAGGAATGACAGAGGTCACACAAATTTTTTTTTATGTAAAATTTTATCAAGGGAAATTCAGAACTGTTTTAACTGCATAAATTATACAGTACTATAAGTGAAATAAATTCAGTACATGCAATACGTACATATTTATTTTCTTACCCTTGTGTTTATCAGCATCATCAAAGATGTCTTGAAATAGTTTTTCCAGAACAGAAACAGAAAGGATCTGGTTCTTATCATCACAGATGCTCAATTGGTAGAAAAGTCCTTGACGCCATACTACAATATGACGTGATTCACCAGAGTCAAAATGAAGTAACTCGTCAATTTCTTCACCAGGTACTCTAAAATAATAATCAGATTATAAATGGCAGATAGTGATAAGAAATTAAGATATAATTAATATTAAATAACAGTAATGAAAACAATAAATCATGACAATCAGTGATTAATCATAAGAGATATTTGCATGCAGAGATAAAATGAGCCATCATGATCCTGTTAGACCTCTAAAACTTGGGCAATAGCCCAAGACATGTTAGAAAACATAACGATCAGAGCCACAAACTGTCTGACATCATGGGTCCGAGGGTAGATAACAGGTTGGCTAGATCTAATGACACTGTAGACAATTCAAGATAAATAAGCTTTGAACAGGGGACCAAAGAGACTGAATGTTAAGTTAGAACAGGGAGTGACATCGAGCAAGCCTAGGGTAAGCACCACGACACTGAACTCCGAAAAACCTGAATAGGAAGCTGGCATTGCAGCACCCGACGTAAGGCCCCCCCCCCCCCCCAGGGCCCACACCCAGCGATTGCGAGAGTGGCAGAAGGGACGTCCCCAAAGGAACCAGAACAAATGCTGAAGCCAGATCCGACCCGACAGTTAGACCAGCATGGAGAAGCTCAGACTCCCACACAGCTGCTCGAACAACTGACGAGTGACTCGGGTGCTCTCCAAAAACAGCCGAAAGCGGGACAACGCATCCATGAACAAATTGAGTGAGAGCTCGGGTAGGCGCCACGGCACTGAACTCCAAAAAACCCGAATAGGAAGCTGGCGACACAGTAACCAACGCAAGGCACCCCCGGCCCACCCCCAGTGATTGCAAGAGGGGTGGAAGGGACATCCCCAAAGGAACCAGAACAACCGCTGAAGCCAGTTCCGACCCGACAGGTAGACCAGCATGGTGAAGTTCAGATTCCCACACAGCTGCTCGAACAACTGACGAGTGACTCGGGTACCCTCCAAAAACAGCTGAAGGCAGGACTGCAGCTGCAACAACGCCGCTGAAGGGAGAGACAAGGAAGCAGTCCGAGAGTCCACACAAGACCCAGCCAAGTCTGTACCTGAGAGGGAACAAAGTGGGACTTCCTCCAGTTCACCAAGAACCCGAACCTGGCAAGATGGGGAAAGAACCAAATCCCTGGTGAGCAGGCATGCATTCCTGACTGGAATCCCAAACCAGCCAGTCGTCAAGGTAAGCCAGAACCCAAACCCCTAACAGACGTAAACGGGTCACCATGACCCAGCTGTAAGCTTGCCGCCTAACGACAAAACCGAGCCAATCCCTGAACACCAGATGAATCGAGACATGCTAATACGCATCCCAGTGGCCCAGGGACACCATCCAAGCGCCCAGCTCCAAAAGTAGTCGGATCTGGGACAGAGTCGTCATCCAAAAAGAGGGGCAAAAGATCCAGGCATTTAGACGGGACAAGTCCAGAATGAACCTCAGATCCGCACATTCCCGTTTTGGAACTGGAAACAGGTGGGAAACCCACCTGAGGGACGCCATCGTTTCGACCACGCCCAAGCAAACACACTCCAGGATGACCCAACAGAGCACAGGGAAAGATGCCTGGCCAGCCAGCTCCAACCCCCAGAAAGAGGAGCCACCCAACATCACTGCAGGCCAGAGTAAACAACCCAAAACACCCACGAATCGTGTGACCAGGCGAGAGCAAACAGAGCACCTCTCACCTACCACCCACTCAACAGGGTGAACCACGAAAAGGCCAATGACCAAAAGCCTGACCAATACTCATAGCTAGCACTGTGCCGATCAGACGCCGACAGCTCCACAGAAGGGGCCGGCCCCAAATGTCGCACTACTGACTTACGACGACCGAAGGAACCCTGAGCCCTGGCAAGACCCTTCAGGCAAGGGCCCTCCACGTCCCCACCAGAGAACCAGAGGACATAGGCCAGCAACTAGACGAAGCTGCCTGTGGAAAATGCACCACAGCAGACTCTGCAAACAGCAACAGACAAAATGGGGAAAAAAATCTAAGAGCCAGGACCCAAGCAAATTCCAAAGAGTGGATGAGCCCTGCCTGTTGGCATGCAAGGCAAGAAGCAAAGAACAGAGACACCTCTTTCTTCAGATTCGGCGCAAACAACTTCAACAAGGCACCAGACGCTGGCCCGGAACCCAGCTCCTCCACACCCTTCTTGAGCTAGTACGAAGACAGCCCCAGCAGGAAAAAGAAGCGCAAGATTGAAGCCAAATGCCCACAAGCGTGCAAATCATCAGCTACCAGGGACACCGAAAGGGAGAGAACCTGCACATGAAGCTGCACCTGGCCAACATTGCAGGAAGCAGAGGAGCGAATTAGCACGCATGGAGGTGCTCCAACTTGCCCCCCAAGTAAACCTGAACGACTGTAGTCAACTCCCACCAATCAAGCGTGCTGGTCCGACAGAACGCATGCCACGCCCTCAACAAGAAAGCCAAAAACCACCGGAAGGAGGGAACCGAAGAACACACAGGAACCCAGAATCGAACCCGGGGAAAAGCTGAACTCGTATCGAACCCGTACAAGGAGAGCGGATACAAAAACCCCTCCCCCTGTAACAGCAAGCCCCGTGCCGTGGGCACCAACGCCCAAGCGGGGTCAAACAGGGCCCAAGCCAACTCCTCCCCAGCCCCGGGATCCTCCATGTCAGGACCCAGGGCAGAGCCGTCCTCTGAACCCTCTTCCTCTGGAGAAAAGGCAGAGTCCACCAGAAAAGCAGATAAGAAGGGGGTCCACTGGCTCGACCCAAAAGCCCTGGCAGGAGGAACAGGCTCGAATGCCTCCGCCACCAATCCGGAAGGGTCAGTTCCTGAAGCCACTCGAGTCTCACCTCCAAGAAAGCCCTGCCCCAACTCCGAAACCCTCAGACATTTGGGAGCCGGGAGCAGGGTGTTGGATGGAGGAGCAGGGTCAACTCCAGCAGGGCAAGGACAAGTGGGCCTGGTTGATACCTGGTTGATGGGTTCTGGGAGTTCTTCTACTCCCCAAGCCCGGCCCGAGGCCAGGCTCGACTTGTGAGAGTCTGGTCCACCAGGCTGTTGCTTGGAGCGGCCCGCAGGGCCACGTACCCACCACAGCTTGGTTGATCCGGAACTTCTCTTAGAAAACCGTCCAGTTTTCTCTTGAAGATGTCCACAGTTGTTCCGGCAATATTTCTTATAGTTGCTGGGAGGACGTTGAACAACCGCGGACCTCTGATGTTTATACAGTGTTCTATGATTGTGCCCATGGCACCTCTGCTCTTCACTGGTTCAATCTTGCATTTTCTTCCATATCGTTCACTCCAGTACGTTGTTATTTTACTGTGTAGATTTGGGACCTGACCCTCCAGTATTTTCCATGTGTATATTATTTGGTATATCTCTCGTCTCCTTTCTAGAGAGTACATTTGGAGAGCTTTGAGACGATTCCAATAATTTAGGCGTTTTATCTCGTCTATGCGTGTCGTATATGTTCTCTGTATTCCCTCTATTTCAGCAATCTCTCCTGCTCTGAAGGGGAAAGTGAGTACTGAGCAGTACTCGAGACGGGACAGCACAAGTAACTTGAAGAGTACAACCATTGTGATGGGATCCCTGGATCTGAAAGTTCTCGTAATCCATCCGATCATTTTTCTGGCTGACGCGATATTTGCTTGGTTATGCTCCCTAAACGTTAGATCGTCAGACATCATTATTCCCAAATCCTTGACATGCTGTTTTTCTACTATGGGAAGATTCGATTGTGTTTTGTACCCTGTATTATGTTTCAGATCCTCATTTTTGCCGTACCTGAGTATCTGAAATTTATCACTGTTAAACATCATGTTATTTTCTGCTACCCAATCGAAAACTTTGTTGACATCTGCTTGTAGTTTTTCAATGTCTTCAGCAGAGGTAATTTTCATGCTGATTTTTGTGTCAACTGCAAAGGACGACACGAAGCTGTGACGTGTATTTTTGTCTATATCAGATATGAGAATAAGGAACAGTAGCGGTGCAAGGACTGTACCTTGAGGTACAGAGCTTTTAACGTCGCTTGGACTCGATTTTATCTGACTGACTGTTACTCTTTGTGTTCTGTTCGACAGGAAATTGAGTATCCAGCGTCCTACTTTTCCAGTTATTCCTATTGACCTCATTTTGTGAGCTATCACCCCATGGTCACATTTATCGAACGCCTTTGCAAAGTCTGTGTATACAACATCTGCATTTTGCTTTTCTTCTAGGGCTTCTGTGATTTTGTCATAGTGGTTGAGTAACTGTGACAGACAGGATCTTCCCGCTCTAAATCCATGTTGTCCTGGATTGTGCAATTCATTGTTTTCCATAAAACTAGAAATTTGATTCCTAATCACTCTTTCAACCACTTTTATTATGTGTGATGTTAGTGCAACTGGCCTATAATTTTTTGCCAAGGCTTTACTCCCCCTCTTGTGCAACGGAGCTATATCTGCAGATTTAAGTGCTGCTGGTATCTCCACTGTATCCAGGCTCTCTTTCCATATTATGCTGAGTGCTCTCGCTACTGGTACTTTACATTTCTTTATGAATATTGAATTCCATGAGTCTGGCCCAGGAGCTGAGTGCATGGCACGGACGAAACCAAAGTTGAGGGGGGAATAACGCCCCCAAGTACGGGTTCCTATATTCCAAGCGGGGGCAGCCGCAGGGCATTCGGAAAGGCAACCAACCTAGTGTCTTGCAGCAACCTAAACCTCGCATGCAACGCAGAAGGTGTCTGCACCCAAATATCTGTAAGAGGACTGGGTGAACTGGAGTACAAGCAAGGAACTTCACTCGCAGGACTCCGGGTCAAAGGTATCATTGACCCAACAGGCAGCATGGCAGAGGCAAAGATGGTGAGTGTCACCCCTGAGACAAGGGGACAGAGCAACCTTCAAAATCCTACGAAGCGAGACGAGACTCAGAGGATGCATCTACTGATCCAATGAGCCCCAAAGGGGTTTTCTAGGGCCCTTAGGCTGACTGCTAAGGGAAGCCCAGGCAAGTTACTGCTAACCGGTTATCCCAGAAATACCAAACAAACAAACAAACAAAAGC